GCGGTAGGGGAAGTAGTGGGTGGTGTGAAAGCAATACTAGAGTGTAGAAATACTCTGTTAAACCTCGGAACGTTACCTGAAAAGTTCAAAAGCACTAGCATCAAAATATATTTAAAGCACCAAAAGTAAAAGTCCTCCTTATGCTTTAGAAATTTAGATTGTGAGATTTGAAGATAAGGTATATTCTAAATATCGATGCATTAATGTGTAATAGTGAGGTTTACTTTAATTACTTTAAAAAGATACTGCTGGGTTGAATTCCCCCAGGGATCAATATCTTGTTTTTACATATAATGTATATAAAAGTACCTCCAAATGAATTACAACACTTGTCTGTTATTTTCCACTCCTGAGCTAATAATGGACAAATAAAAATGTTTGACCTGAAGACTGCGATAGAAGAAAAGTCAGAGGATCACCAGTGTTACTACAACTCATTTTCTGCAGAAAATGAATGTCTGTGTCAAATTGTATTGAGATCCATGCAATAGTTATCAAGACATTTCAGCTCAAAACCACAAATGTCAACCTCATGGTAGCACCAGGGGAAAAGGCAGGGAATCCAACCATGGAGTTACTAGAGTCAGTAGGATTCGTCCTCAGACCAAATGTCATGGCAGTCGGTCCAGTAGTTGTCTAATGGATATTTTTGTCTTGACAGAAAATTGCCATACCTAGACCTTTGCCACTAGTATGGCTAAAAAGCTGTTGAGGGAGTGGAGAAGGGAGGGTGGGGTATTACTCACTACCCCAGTACAGTACAGTATGTTGAGGGAGTGGAGAAGGGAGGGTGGAGTATTACTCACTACCCCAGTACAGTGTTCTCACCTGGAGCATGTAGGAATTTAGACTAGTAACATTTTGGTCAAAACTGTAGTTCAGCCTGCTGTTGCTCTTCCTTGTAATTGCTTAGAGCTCACAAGTGGTATAATAACATTCCAAAGATAATTCAGAGTATCTGAGTGCCACTGACCTGGCAACAGAAATAAATTATACTGGATTACACAAATGTTGCACCAGAGTTTGGTCAATCACCTTTCAAACCTTCAGACAGACAAACACACTTTGAGGTCACCCCACTGACCTGCAATGTTGTATTGATCTGAAACACCTGTCAGATGTTTACCATTTCATTCCCTGGAAACAAGGGCTGTCATTTTGGGAAGGTTGGCCTGGTGGCCATAGCCAGACAGTGACCTTTGATGTTTATCATTTTCTGGTGAACTGAGAGGAGCTGTCAGGCACATAATAAAGTCTTAGGCCTCAGAGACCAGTAGATATCCACAGAAACAAAAAAGACCGCAACACTGTTATTTTGCAATAATGGGTAAAGGTTATAATTATTATCATTGTCTCCGGTGCTCTTTTGTCATTCAGCGGGTTGGCAAGCTTTCTGTGCCCAGTAGAGTTAGCTTTTGCCACACCACAAGAGCCCAGCCTCACTTGTTCAAGCTCAGTTTCCTTAGCATACCTGAACCAAGGGAGTTGTTCTTTAATACCTTTCAGCTCTCCTGCAACAGGATCTAAGACCTCAGCACAAAAAGAATAAAATCCCTGTATGAAAAATAGATGAATAATCTGATCCAGCCTCACGTACTCCATTTGGTGTAAGGTGAGATTTCACATCCTGCCAACACCTCTAACCCTTCTTTAGCTGTGGCTTCTGAGTGTCAGACAACTTAAAGCTGCAGGCACTGCAGGAGGCAAGTCATTTGAATATTTTTGTACTGACAGTACAAATTTAGTTCACGTAAACATAGGTTGTTGTTCCACAGCCAGGCAGAAAAGGGATCCCATGGGACAGATATACCTGCAGCTCCATGGCCACAAAATGACACAGCAGCAATCTAACCACTGATGACAGGCATCTGAGCCTGGCTGACACACTGGCCCACTAATAGTGTGGCTAGTAATCTGTTTGTACCAGCTCAACGTGTGCAGATTTTCAAGCGGCTCAGAGCTCTCTGTGAACTTTGAATAGATCACAAAGGGTTAGACGTGCCTATTGTCACCTCTTGCCTCAAAATATGTGCTTCCTCACACAATGAGATTGCACAGAGTAGGTGTTGGCTACGTGCTGCTCAGGGCCAAAAAAAAAAGCTCTGGGCACTATTTTAGCATCTGCATGTGTGAAAATAGCAGTAGTATGTCATTTCACATACAGTCCCAGTAATTAAAATATGTTAATTATAACATATTTAATTAATAACTTTATTAAATTTATGACAGAACTTGCTGAAGTGCTGGTTGGCTGGGAAAGGATCAAATATTAGAGACTAAATACGGTGCTGGATAATCAATTATAGCCTAATTTTACACATGATGATAAAGATACAGAAACACAGAAATAGCCTCTATAGCAAAACTATGTATTGTCAACATTTTAGACTGAGACCTCCCCCAAAAGGTTTGCAAATCATGTTTTCAGGGGAGCTCATGTCTTATTCAGGGGGCCAAATATGTGAGTGCAATCAGCCTTCTCATTTTACTCTTGGAAAGAAGCTAAACACAAAATGTGAACCTAGAGTGTTCAGGCCCCTTGAAGGTCTTGGACTCCAGAGCACTCGCTTGTTTAGCCCAGACTTGTTTAAACAAAGAGCAGCCCTGCATTAACAATGCACTCACTCACATTGGTAATTGCCTTTGACATGATTCATTTTACCACTTCTATCCCTTGTGACAATAGTTATGAAAGTAAAAGAAGAAAGAAGATATTTGTACTTGACTTTTTACTTGTAAAGTGTTTAAACATTACATCAGGTACATCATAAAAGTGTAATGATTATTTGTTATGATGCTTCTGGACAAAGGTAAATGCAGGAAGTACCTGCCAAATCCTGCTACACTCCAGCCTCTAGAATTCACTGGTGTAATTACAGCTTAAAACATTAGATTCTAAGTTGAATTCCTCTTTCACAGTATGTTGTAACAGGGCTGAATGCAAGTTTGTTGGATCAACATGACTGCTATAAAATTCTCACAAAGAATGACGAGATTCTTCTGCATTCATCGTTTTGCTTGGTTTCGGCCAAAGGTTCCGGTGTTTATTTGTGTGTCTTTGGGAGTGCTTAGCCTGTGCCTGAGGGAGATGAGGCATTTGATGGACTGCATATTTGTCGTCTTACTTCAGCTTATGCAGCACTGTTGGGGTGACCTGAAAAACTGGAAAAGTCAGCAGAGAGAGTGAGGCCAAATGAAGTAGCATCTTCTAAAATAAAATACTTGAACTTAGTGATATGGTGTGAAAATCACACAGAAACAGGTGTTGTAAAATGCAGCACTACTGTACAACATGTGCTGGTGTTATTCATCACACAGTCAGTCCAGTGAAAAGCCAGAACACCTCATCTAAGACATGAGGTTTCAGTGGTGGCACAGGGCAGTGGGGGTCCCATTCAGCTGATAAGAGCCTTATATAGTCCACAGTGCAGTGTGGAGAT